TGAGCATCCTCTCAGGCCCCTGGGTCCAGAGCTTTGCCCTTGCTGTGCAGAGCTGCCTTCACACCCAGATGAATTCCCAGTGGATGCTCCTGGTGCAGCTCCAGCCCCGTGGGGCTGCAGGAGAGCTGTCTACCCTGCTCACATCTCCAGAGCCAACCACTACCTCCCTCCCCCTGTGACAGCCACAGGGGCTTGGGGACAGGGAGCTGGGAATGCTGTGTGTCCCCATCCAGCAGCTCCACAGCCACTCTCCTCCCTGCTGTGAGCTTTGCACCTCAAAATAGAGGGGAAAACAGCAATTTAAGCCAAGTTAGAGGCTAACTTTTACCCAACCTATATTGCTCTTCCTGATCTGAGACAGGGCAGATTCAGATTAGATATTAGGAAAAATTTCTTCACTGTTAGGGTGTTGGAATAGGTTTACCCAGGGAGGTGGTGGAGTCACCATCCCTGGAGGTGTTTAAGAGGTGTCTGGAGGCACTGGAGGATCTGGTTTAGGGTTTAGGGATTCCAGCAGTGACAGGTTAAGGGTTGGACTTGATGATCTTAGAAGTCTCCTCCAACCTTGATGATTCTATGGTCTGCCCATGATCCCTGCAAAGGTCCCTCTGGAAGCACTGAGCACCCAGGCCCCAGTTACCCAGGCGGTTAGGGCTGTGGTCATCCAACCGCATTAAAAGCTCATCAGCCATTAATTAATTCCCGGCAGCTGGCAGCTCCCGGCAGCCCACTGCAGGCAGGAATGTGCCGCAGCTCCCGGCAAGGCAAAGCCATCCAGGTACTCTGAGCTTCCCGGGATCAGCACCAGGATCAGCATCGGGAGCAGCATCCCACCAGTGCCACGGACCCACACGGTCCCAGCCCAGCCTGGTGCAGCATCCCGATGTTTTCCCTCCTTTTGGGAAACTAGTGTAGCGGAAAAGAAAGATCTCCATGTGGAAGCAGCCGCTGCCTGCGGGAATAACTTGTTTCCATAGCCAGGGAGCTGGCAAAAGGGTTTATCTCCTGCCCTCGGCTCTGGAATGTGTTTACATTCAAACAAACTCCTGCATTCAATACACTGTTAATATTAATGTTGCTGCAGCCCAGGATGCAAATGCTTCTTTTTAATGGAATATCTTATTAGATTTGGAAATGGATGGATGGTGGCAGAATTGAGAGCTGGCTGAATATTAAGTTGGGAAGAGAAATATGCCAAGGAGATGGGAACTCTCCACTGGAGCTCTCTCTGCTCTTGGACACCCATGGGTGAGCCCACCCTGAGTGCAGCTCGTGGGGATTATGTTAGGAAGAAGTTTTCCCTGTGAGGGTGGTGAGACACTGGCCCAGGTTGCCCAGGGAGGCTGTGGCTGCCCCAACCCTGGCAGTGTTCACAGCCAGGTTGGCTAAAGCTCCTTAGAAGAGATGTGAAAACACTCCAGAAGATGCCTGAGAGGAGTCTTACATAGATCCTGGAAGATGCATGTTCCATGCAAAGAGAAAAATCATCTCAGGTACCTTCCCTGGAGAAGTCTGGAGCTGCTACTCAGGATATCAAGTGCCTAACTCAGAGAAGGAAAGACTCTTGAATATGCCTGGGAGGAGTCTTGAGTGAATCCTGAGCCAGGTGGGCTAAAGCCTTGAGCTACCTGCTCTGGTGGGAGGTGTCCCTGCCCAGGGCAGGGGGTTGGGGCTGGATGATCTCTAAGGTACTTTCCAAACCTTCAACATACTATGGTTCTGTGTTGGTTTTAGGGAGATGGATCATGCTGCAGCTCCTGGAAGGGTTGGATGCCCAGCCTGGCTGTGCCTGGTGCCCATCCCTGGGCTGCTGGGTGGGTTCAGGTCTAGAAGCACATAGGATGATCATGGGAGATGTTGGGGTACCCCCAGTGCTCCCTTGGCATTGTGTCAGGGTGTAGGGCTGAGATCTGTCACTGTCACTCCTCCAGCAAGGGCCTGGGGCTCAGTGGGACAGTGATGGGCTCCGTGGCAGGAAAGGGATGGATGGGCTGGAAATTTCAGCCATGGAAATTGATATACTATGCTTGCAGTTCCCCTTGGTGACAGGCTCATATGGGCTCCAATTCCCTCATAATTCTCCTTAAATGCCCATTCTGCAGACACAGAGAGGGAATTTCACCCACTTTGTCCAGCCTGGGCTGTCGTGGTGAGGAGAGAGCCACAGGGATCTCAGCAAGTTGCTCCAGCTCCTTTCCTCCATTTCTCACTAGTGTTTTCCTGGGATGCTGCCACAACCCAGGATGTTGTGATCTGGGACACTGTGGTGCCCAGGGAGCTTTGCCCCCCTGGTTGCATCATTTCAGGCTGCCCAAAGAGGTTGTGAGGACTCCTTCCCTGGAGATATCCAAAAGCCATCAGGATACAATCCTGAATGATGTGCTCTGGGGAACTCTGAGCAGGGAGGTTGGACTGGGTGATCTCCAGTGGTTCCTTCCAACCTGACCCAGTCTGTGCTTCTGATTTCCCTGGGATGCTGCTATGGCCCTGGATGCTGCCACCACCTGGGGTGCAGTACTTTCCCAGGATGCTGTGGTGACTCAGGAAATTGAATCATGGAATGGTTTGGGTTGGAAGAGACCTGAAAGCGCATCCTGTTCCACCCCCTGCTATGGGCAGGGACACCTTCCTCTAGCCCAGGTTGCTCCAAGCCCCATCCAACCTGGCCTGGAACACTTCCAGGGATGGGACAGTCACAGCTGCTCTGGGCAACCTGTGCCAGTGCCTCACCACTCTCACAGGGAAGAATTCCTTCCCAATATCCCATCTAGCTCTGCCCTCTGGCAGTGGGAAGCCATTCCCTGTGTTCTGTCCCTCCAGGCCTTGTCTCAAGTCCCTCTGAAGCTCTCTTGGAGCCCCTTTAGGCACTGGAAGGGGCTCTCAGGCTCCCTGACTGCATCCTGGGATGCTGCATTTCCCTGGGATGCTGCACTTCCTTGGGATGCAGCTGCAGCCTGGGATGCTGCCTGCCCCATGGGCTGGGGGGAGACAGACACCCACCCCAGTGCCCTCCCCAACTCACCTGGCTGCTCTCCCTGCTCTTCCCAGTCGATTTCATCGGTGGGTTTGACTCCTACGGGTACCAAGCTCCACAGAAGACATCACACCTACAGCTACAGCCACTCTACACCACTGGGGACAGCCCTGGGGGGGCTTTGGGGTGCAGGACCCACTCTGAGGTGCCCTATCACACTCTCATAACCCCAAAGATTTAGGTGTGAGTCCATTCAGCCTCAACACAAAGCCCTGAGCTTCCATCCAGCCTGGGCTGAGGGTTTTGGGGAGTTCATGCCCTTGTTTTGCTGTGTTGTGTTTGCTGAGCTTCACCACGTTGGTGCCCAGGGGAAGCAGCAGCTCTTCAGATAAGTGCAGCTGCCTTTTTTTTCCCCCCTCTCCCTTACCCATTATGCTTAACTAGATAAACACTCAAATGAGATAAGGCTGTGAAATCTAAAGGGATTAACCTCGTGTGGGCCTTGCCTGGTGCCAAAAATTAATTATATGTGAAGCCTTGTATGCAAATTCAAGGGCACATGATGCAATTAGAGATGCAAAGGGAGGGGAACAAATGCATCTCTGAGAGTGCTCAGCCCTCCCTGGGTGTTTGGGCACTCACAGGCTCCTGTGTGCCCACACCAGTGTGTGGATGAGCACCCAGGGATGCTCTTGGGGTGTCCTGTGCAGGGCCAAGAGTTGGACTCTGCTCCTTGTGGGGGCCCTGAATGTTCTGTGATTGTGGGTGCTGTGCCTCCCTGTATGGGGCTGGTCCTTCCCCAGGAGCCCCTCAACCCTCCAGGTGTGAGTGGGACATGGTGGGATGGGGACACGGATGGTGGCACTGGAATTTCCTGGGGTACGGTGGGATGGGGACATAGATGGTGGCACTGGAATTTCCTGGGGTGGCAGTGGTGCCAGCACCCACATCAGTGAGTTGTCTTCCCTTCCCCAACTGGGTGTCCACCCTGGGGGGACCCAGGAGAGTGTTATCCCATGGATGGGACAAATCCCATGGCTGCTATCCCTTGGGCATCAGGGAGGTGTCCTCCCTCCCCCAGCTGGGTGCCCACCCAGAGTGGGTGGGAGAGTGTTATTCCATGTGTAAGACACATCCCATAGATGCTGTGCCTCAGGGAAACTCCTCAGACCTTCCTTGGTGAGAGGATGTGAAGCCACCAAGGCCAAAATGGGCAGAGGTGAAGGCAGGGAGTGGAGAGATCCCATCCTGACCCCCTGTCTGCAGCTCCAGGGGTATGTGGGGCTGTCAGGGAGCTGCTGTGAGCCCAGCACTCCCCAATAACTGCAGGATGAGTGCTGGAAGCAGCAAGATTTGGGGATATCAGGAGAAATATCCATTTTAGGTGAGGGGAACATCAATTTTAGCTACACAGAGGACCCAAAAGCTGAGGGCAGAGAAACCTGGTGCCAAGACACCGTGATGGGGACACCTCAGTGGGAGCAGCAGTGCTGGGGGGATCCCTCTCCCCACTTTCTGGGAGATGTTTGACTCACCCCTGTACCCTCTATAAAGCTCAGTGTCCTCCCAGTGCTGAGGGGACCCAGCAGGACCTGGTTGGGGATGATGGGGGGTCACAACAAGGACCCTGTCACTGTGCTGCCATCTCCCTCCTGCCCCCAGCCCCCTCTGCTCTACCTCTCAGCTCATTAATAACCCACAGCCTAATGAATGCAGCTATAATTTGTATCAAAGCACTTTCACCCCCCTGACAGCAGTGGCTCATGCACTTAGGGGACACACCTGTCCCCAAGGGGGGAGACACAGGGTCCTGGGGTGGCACCTAGGGTTGAGGGACAGTGATAATCCCATTTTGGGGAGGGGACACTGGGGAGAGGATGTACAAGGGGCTCAGTGGGAAGGATGAGGCCATTCATGTCCCCAGGGCCACCCAGGCAGGACAGCAGGGCTGAGGCCCCAGAAATTAAAGCTTATGCTGCAGTTCCCAATTAGCCATAATTGAATTAGCAGCAGGGTGGGGGAGGGTTTCCATCCAGTGGAAAGAGGAGGATGTGCCATGCCAGCACCTGCTCCTTGTCCCCTTGTGTCCCTCCTGTCCATCCAGGGTGGCACCAGGCCCCACCTGTGTCCTGTTGCCCCCAGAACAGGGATTGTCTCCTCCAAAATCCCTCCTCCAGCATGGGGAATGCAGGCTGGGAGCTGAGCCCTGGGACAGTTGTGACAGGAGTGACAGAGGGGGGCTCTGCAAGGGGGACAGGAGGTGTTTGTGGGGTGTGGGGCTGATGCTGACCCAGTGATGTGCTGGAGGTGGCTCCAGCACCCCCAGATCTGTCAGCACCCCCAGAGATGGGATGGGGAGGAGAATGAGGAAAGGGAAAAACCTGGGGGGGATGAGACAGTTTAATCATCAAAGTTAATATTTAATAACTGAATTGAATAATGTAATAATTTAGTTTAATAATTGACATGAAGTGAAATATAATAACAGGAATAGTAATAGCAATAGCAGTAGTAATAGCAGTAGTAGCAGCTGTAGTAGTAGTAGTAATAATAGTCATGAAGACAAGCATAAGAGAGAGGAATAAACCCCAAGAAAACTGTGTCACCATGGTGGGGACATCAACCCATTGGGGCTCCCCAGCTTGGTCTCAGTCACTCTCTGATGTTTTGGGAGGTGTGTTTGAAAGGAGAGGAGTAGTAGTAGTAATAATAATAATAATGAAAAGAGAGACAACAAGGAGAGAGAGGAATAAACCTTAAGAAAACCATGTTGCCATGTCAAGGGACATTAACCTATTGGGGCTCCCCAGCTTGGCCTCAGTCACTCTCTGACATTTGGGGGAGTGAAAGGAGAGTGATAATGATCAATGATGATGATGATGATAAAAACAAGAAGAAGAGAGAGGAATAAACCCAAAAAAACCCATGTCACCATGGAGGGGACATCAACCCATTGGGGTTCCCCAGCCTTGCCTCAGTCACTCTCTAACATTTTGGGGTGGGATGAAAGTAGGATAATAATAATAGGATGATGATGATGATGATGATGATGATGAAAAGGGAAGCAACAAGAAGAGAGAGGAATAAACCTCAAGAAAACTGTGTCACTTTGGGGTGGAACATCCACCCATTGGGGCTCCCCAGCTTGGTCTCAGTCACTCTCTGACATTTGGGGGGTGACAGGAGAGCAATGCCCCTGTGAGAACCACCCCAGGTCACCCCAGCAGGTCTCTGACCCCATGATGTGCTGTCCATGGCCATCACTCCTTGTCCCCATGTGTTGGAGTCTCCCTGCTGACCCCTCCTGTCCCTCTCTCTCTCCCCAGGTCTGGGTAACCTCCTCCTGCCCTGGATCCAGCCCAGCCTGGGAGCCAGAGGTGCCAGGACACCCCGGAGCCACCACTCCCCAACGACACAACCTCCAGTGTTGGGGGGACACCACGCCAAGCCACCCTGTCCCCTCCTGCCACCCTGCCAGACCCCAGCAATGGAGCCAGGAGCTGCACATCCATCCCCCTCTGGATGCCTCCGAGCCCAAATCACCTACCCCCAGCAGGATCCAGGGGGTTGGACACGGGGGGATCCCCCGAGGCTGTGCCACCCCCTGGGCTCCCACAGCCACCCCAGGATGGGGACACACAGGGAGGTGGCAATGCTCATGGGACACTGTTTTCTTCTGTTTCTCCCAGCCTGGTTTTTCCTTGGACCCTTCCTGGAGTACTGGAGTGGGGCCTGGAGCAGGACTGGGGTGAAACCCAGCTGGTTTGGAGCAAACCAGGGAATAGACACTGCTTTGGGGACAGTGGGGCACAGAGACACCACAGCCTCCATGGGGTTGGGGCAATTTCCTGAAACTCTGGATTTGGGGGTCAGACTGGCCACCAAAAATGGGGATTTTCCCCCCAGGAGGAATTTTCCAGCCCCTCCAATTGAAACAGCACTGAAGGGGCTCAGTACAGGATCTCCCCATGCCCTGAAGAGCTGGATCTGTCCATCAGCATCTTGCCTCGACCTCTCCCCAAATCTGGGGACATGGGGGGACACAGAGCACCCTGAAATCTCCCTGCAAGCCCCCCCAGCCCTCCCTCATTCCAGGAGGGACCTGCTGCCACATGGCAATAGTGACCCTGCTCTGAGCACAGCCCCTTTCTGGCTGTTTTAATGGATCTAATGAATGTTTTGGGTTGGTTTGGGTTGTTTTTTTAATTCTTGCTTTGGGTTTTTATTTAATTTAAAGTGCCTGAGTAGACTCTGGCTGAGCACAGCCCCCCTCCAGCCTGTGCTGGGCCCCCCCAAAGGCTGACATCGTGCCTTCAGCAATGCTGTGCCCCCTCCAGGGCTGCCCCAGGACCCCCCAAACCCTCACCCAGGGCTGTGGGAGAGCAGCTTGGTGCTTCCTTTCCAGCCCCTTCATCCATGGAGGGTCTTGTTGGCAAATCCATCTATCAGCTTTGGTGGCAGAAGAGGGACAACGTTGGCACATGGAGAATGACTCTGGGGGGTGGGGGAGGGGGGAAGGAGATATGTGAGGTGTGTTGGGCAGCAAAAGGAAGATGAACTGGGAAGGACAAGCCTTGGAAGAAGCTAGAAGGAAAAAGGAGTTTCCTGAAGCAGCCAAGCTCACCCTGATCTCCTTGTTCTCCTTTTGTTCCTGGAGGTGGGATGTAGCCCCAAACCCACCGTTCACATCTGGGAGCATGAATTTTGTCTCCCAGGCATTTATCCTCCAGTCCTGGAGGAGGGGGAATCTGGAGGTTCTTCTGCATCCTCGAGTGATTTTTTTGTTTTTGCTCCTTCCCAACAAGGAAATAGGAAGTGCCACCAACTGGAGCTGGGATGGGCTGTACCCCCCTACA